TTGTTTAGTTCTCTCACCTTTGATTGGGTGTGGTGCTGGTCCTTAATTGCACTCACCTGTCACACATTATATAAGGACTGCATTCACTTTTGCCTCACTCTTTCTTCACTCCCACAGGGGGGGCAGCAGAGGTGAGGTTCTGTTTGGGTTTTTATTTTATGTATTGTTAAGGTAATGAGTAACTTAAATCTGTTTTCTTTCAGCAGTCCATGTGTCCTTCCTTCCTTCTTTGCTTTATTGATTTGAGAATAAAAGGAGAAGCCTGTGAATGATTAGATGACTGCTTATTCTTATTCTAGTTGGATGAGCCCATGATGCTGATTACTTAAACCCTGAGCCTTCTTTCCTTCATAACACTCTTCTTCTGACAAATAAAATCATCTAAGGAAAGAAAGCTCCTCAGACGACGATGACTGAGAACCTTCACCGACAAATAAAGTCACAAACACTTTTCTTTTTATTGTTTTTATATTTTATTTTCTGGCTTTTACAGTTTCTGACCAACTGACCTGGTTAGTCCCTTTTTAAAAAGTATTATATTTATTTATTTTTATATATTTTTACCACCAATTTTCTTTCCTATCATTTTTACTTCATTATTTTACTCCTAGTGTTGGTGCCGAGCCCAGAAAAATGGCACTGTTGTGTTAGGAGGGGCATCGGGTGTAAAATCCTCAGTAGAGCAAACATGTGGATCATTTCCGTACAGATCGACCTCTGCCCCGGTTACTAATGACTGTGCTGCTGGCCTTAACGCTGCGCCTGAGATCACAGACCAATTATAAAGTCAGATGTGACGCTGATGGAGAGATCGGTGCAGGGCGATGGAGATGCAAATCGTTTCAGTGAGATCTCCTTCATGGAAGTGATGTGAGACACACGGAGCAGCCGAAGCTCCACGATGGCCATGCTCAGCCAATTTAGTTACTTCCTGTCTGGTTTTGGTCATTTGTTTCTTGTGTCTTGTATTTAGTCTTATTTGCTTGTCTTGATTAGTTTCAGCTGTTTTTGTTCCAGGCTCCTGATTAGTCCTCGTTGTGTCCGTGTACACACAGCCTGTGGTTTCCTTTGTTCTCTGTCAGAGTTTGTTTCTGTTTGTTCGCTTGTGTATTGAATTACGTTTCTGGACTTTTGTTTCCCAGGAGATAAAGGTAGTGAAACACTGAAACATACGAAGCTTTTGTGCCAGAACAATCTGAAACCATCTCTGCTGCCAACTTGTTATCTCTACATCTCGAGGATGCTTTTCTGTGAAACAGTGATGCAGATGAGCTCTTATTATGCCAGACTGTCAGTAATTATGATCATCACGTCAGGCCAGCGATGATCCAACAGGAGGATCAGTGTGCTTCAGCTAAGTTTTTAGTTTACCCAACAATGTGTGATGGCTGCATCCAACCACACAATTGAAATACTTTGGTAATATTCTTTTGGTCTTTTGTCTTATGTTTACGTTATGCTCTAAAGCTTCTGTGATCATAAGTTAACTAATTTGATATTTTGAGTTACCTGTAACACATGACAGCACGAAGCTATAGCCCAAATGGTGGCACAGACTTTGCTTTGCATCGTTTGTTATTTTATATGGGTATGTTTATTGATTATATTTCTGCTCTTTCTGAGTTTCCTGACCTCCGCTCCAGTCCTTCCTGGTTTGGCTGAAAGAGGAGG